AGCCAGGCTCAGCCCCAGGGCCCAGCCCCAGCTCAGCTCCAGCTGCTCCACTCCGATCAGTGCACAGGGACTGGCAGTGTAGTGGAGTCACACCACCAGCAGCAGGGGCATGGCACTGCTGGACTCGTCCAAAGAGTGCCCAGCCCAGGAGGCCAGCCCACATTGCCTGCCTTCCCTGCGAGAAGTGCTCCAGTCACCCAGGAACCACAACCAGGAACATGGAGAACGGTAGAAGCCGAGGGCCCCCCAGCCCCCCCAGCAACCCCCTGTGGAGTCTCTCTGCCTGCCCTGCCCCGGTGAGACCAGGGCACCCAGAGACAGACAGTGCCCCCTTCCCCCTGCCAGAGAAGCCACACACTTAGCCCCTCCCCGGGCTTAGCAAGCAGGCCAGTGGTGATGAAGTAGTGTTGGGTGTGGGGGTGACAAGGAGGAAATTGCCAAGATACAGCCAAGCCACACTTGTGGGGGCAGCCTGAAGGAGCTGCCCAGGAGAAGTGGAACCCCTTGGCCTCCCCATACTCCCGCGGCAGGCAGAGCAGGCAATGGGCTGAGTCACAGTGCAAATCACCTTGGGGCCGGGCTGAAAATCCCAGCTACATTTGGCATGACCTCATCAGGTGCCCTGCTCTCTAATTGCATGCGTGTGTCTGCACTCAGAGAGGACTTCGAGGGCCCTGCCAAGAGTAGTAATGAATGGGTGAAGGAGAGCCACGGGAGAAGCACCAGGGAAGAGCCGGGGGCTGAGTCACGGCGGGGGATGGGGAGGGGGCTGCTGCCCTGCCAATGGGCTAGGGCAGGGCAATGGCAAGACCCCCATGGAGCTCCGAGTGCCCTCAGCGCCCACGGCCAGGCAAGTGGCACACACAGGCTGGCACCAGCCAGCACTCATGAAGCAACAAAGGACAAACAAGGCTGCAGGCCAGGCCATGCTCAGAGGGACAGCAGGACTGTGTCCCGTCCCAGTCCCCTGCCCAAACTGTTTGCCAGTGCCACACCTGGCTACTGCTCCCCCAATCCTTCCCAGGCTCCTGCGCGAGCTGAAGGGAAGGAAACCTGCGTTTCCTGGTCAGACAGGAGATGACATAGTGACTTCCCTTTCCTGTAAGCTTCTAAACACAACGTCCTGCCAAGGGCCGTTCCCCACCACCCCCAGCCCACACACAGAGGCTCTGGAAGCAGGCTGGGAAGGCCAAGCATGGGCACCACCACACCAGCCTCGTCACAGTCCACCCAGGAGAGCAGATCTGCAGACAGCTTGCTGGAAGCATCCTGCCCCCAGGGAACACACACAAGGGCTCCTCTTTCATGGTGGCATCACATGCCTGTCCGTGGCTGGGACTATCCTACAAGCAGAGAGTGGAAGACACTGTTCTCCAACCCTCAAGGACACGGCTGTGCCTACCGTGCCCTAGAGACAGACTTGTTACCCACAGAACCGAGGCAGCACTAACACCATAACTCCAGCATGGCGTCTGCTCCCAAAGACCACAAGCGAGCGTGTTCTGCCACTCCCCAGCCTCCCGTCACACACTTCGTCTGCTTGTTTGCACAACTCCACCGGCCAACAGGCACAGACAAACAGGGCCGTCTGACACTTTGTGGTGTTCCCAAGGCTGCTGGAGCAGCACAGGGACATCCCTGGGAAGCCCCCCACCCTCACGGCCTACGACTGCTACCACTACTTGGCCCCACAGGCCCATCCACCTGCCTGTCCCAGGGCAGCTGCTCTCGCTACTGAAGGAAGCAGAATAGAGAGGGGAAGTGGTTTTCCACTCAAGCCCAATGCTGGAGACAGACACAGGGCAGAGATCAAGGGAGAGCAGGTTTCCCCATTTGCCACACCAGCACGTTCTGCAGGGGAGCTGTAGGACCCTGGGAGCTCCCTCCTGCAGGTAAACACAGAGTAAAGAGAAGCAGAGAGGAAGGAGGGTTACAAAGCCAGCCTGGAGCAGCCAGCCTCTCCACATCAGAGGGGATTTCTCCCAGAAGCACCCCAGGCTGTCCTCCTCCTCCTCCAGCAGACCCCAGTTCGCAGGAGGTGGGATGACATCTCCCCCCCGGAGCGAGTCAGCCTGCCCGCAGCCAGAGCCAGGCATGGCAAGCAGAGCTGCATGCAGCAACACGCTCACAAGAATGTATTACTCCACTGGGCAAGGGGCCTGCCAGCAGCATGCAAACACGACCGGTGACCCACCCTTCCAGGTCGGAAAAACTCGTCTTTGCAGTCTGACACACTCCCTCCCACCCATGGCAGCTACCCACGTGCACAGGCTGCCCAGCGCCATCTCCCCTTTCCTACTGGGCCAGCAGAGGAGCTGGGAGCATCAGCGAGGAAGCAGCTGAGAGATCTGGGAGCTCTCCTCAATAAAGACCAGCTCGAGCACCACACGGGATATGGGCAAGAGGAAAACACGTTGGCTGAGGACAGCAAGACGCCTTCTTCCTCCTGGCCAGGGTGGAACCAGTTCTCCGTGTTCACCTACTCTGAGGGTACCCAACTCCCTCACTGGGCCACCTCGCCCCTGGGGAACCCGTCCCCCTGACCCCAGCAATCACTCTTCTACCCCAGAGGTGCTTCTGCAGCTGCAAAAGCCACGCAAGGTTGGAGCAGCTCCTCTGGCTGCCAGCCACCCCAGCACAGTGCAGGCAGCCCTCCTCATGCTGCCAGCTCCTGAGGAGGCAGAAGCAGGTAAGGCTCACGCTGCTTCCAGGTCCGGCACGCCCAGGAGCGGCCAGCAGCAGGAAGCTGGTGAACTTTGAGCAGTGTTCCCGGCAATGGGGCCAACGCCCAGAGGAGCAGGAGCAGTCAGGACTGGGATGGAGGCACAGAACAGCTCCTGCCCTCGCACGCACCCAACACCGCTGCCACCAAAGCCAGCCACCCAGGGATGCCCTCGTACCAGCCCTGGAGCTGCAGGTTTTAAAAAGGGCTCCCAGAACTGCACCAGCACCTCGGCCAGGCTACAGGAGAGTTGTTCCCAGGGCTCACTCCCCTACCCCAACCTGCCCAGACCCCTCCCTGCATGGGCTGGAAGGCCAGTCACTCCTAGCCTGGACAAGCACCCCAAGACTTTCTCCTACACATTGTACACCCACTGACACCCCAGCAGCACCTCACAGCCTCAGAGACCCCCCCAACTTCCAACACACCAAAAGGCCAGGGCTGTGGTTTTGCAAAAGAAATCCTGCTCTCCTATCAGCACAAACATCTGGGCAACAAACTTTTAAAATTAAACACACAGGCAAGGTGTTCAGGCTGGGTCAGGTCCCCAGGCCCACACTGGCACAAGCATTTCTGCAGTGGGCGCAGGCTCTGCAGCACAAAGTCACCATGGACCTGCAGCACAATGTTAGGGACACAGGGACAAGCTCCCCAGCTTCCATCACCCCTCTGTCACTGCCCCCTTGCAGAGACACTTATCTCCCTGACTGTCCATCCCCACCTCATTCCAAGGCCCATGCACACCAGGCGTCCCTTGACCAGCCTCCGACCTCCAGCTGCTCGCTGCTCTGGGCTGCAGGAAGCAGATGGAAACAGAGGCAACGGGTGCTTGGGTTAAGGGTTCGCCCATCCTGGCATCAGGCCTGGCAGCCTGTGCTCCTTCATCACCAGTTTGCCCTCCATCCAGCAGCCACCCGTCTCTCCTCTCTGCACTGTGCTGTCTTCATCTGGGCCACAACACGGAAGCAGAACACCTCACAAGGAAAACTCTGGCTTCATCTGCAGGGAAGTGGGGAGAGGGGGCAGAACCACAGGAGGATCACATGGCACCCACTGCACCCCGACATCTGCTCGACAGGGAACATCACAACACATTAACCCCGGGTCAGCCCCTGCCGCAGCAGCCACCAGACAGGGCATGCACAGGGACAGGCATATGTGGGCTGGAGCAGCAGTGGGCAGCAGCACCAGCAGCATTCCCAGGGGGAAGGTGATTAGCAACAAGCACAAGACAGGCAGGAGGCTGGACAGACTCATCAGCCTGCTGCTGGGAGTTTCCACTACAAGAACTGGCTCCAAGCAACAGTTTTACCCCCAGACAGCCTCCTCGGAAGGCAAGAAGCAAAGAGAAGGTTGTAGACACCTTGGGCAACTCAAGGACTTTGGTCGAGAGCCTGTAAATCCAGCCCCCTTCCAACAGCCTTGCACCGAGACACATTCCTGCACTCTGTGCCAGAGGACAACCTCCTCCACTGGCCAAGCCCCATGTCACACGTGGAGGAGCCTCCTGAATCACCCAAGAGGCTTGGGTTTTGTCACCGCATCCAGGCAACACCTGTTGCCTTTTATGGACCCAAACCAGCTCTGCAGTTCTGCTGCTCACTATCAGCAAGGCAGGGGTGGGGGAAAACAACCACACTGCAGACACCCATGTTTTCAGAGTCAGAAGGAGAGCTCTGTACTTCCCTGGAGACAGTACCACCGCAGTCTGGGGAAAGGGCTCCATCCTCGCCAGCAGTAAATGAGACACTGTTACAAGCAGTTGTTGGGAAGAGAAACCAAGAGATTTAACCAGCACTCTCCTCCCTAAGATCACAGACACTAGTAAGGTATTTTGCAAACAGCCTTCCAGGCATGGTCCAAGCTACGCTATTACCTTCTGGGTGTCCTAAAGCCATCCCCAGCACAGATACAGTGGACCAAGGTCTTATCTCCATGCCACAGGCTGGAGGAGAGAAGAGATGAGAGGCATCCAGGGACAGAGACACCAGCTGCGCAGTCTGCACTGGACCATTCATCCGACTCCCAGCCCATCTTCAGGGAAAGGACGGCCCCAAGGGCAGACCACAAAGATCAGGGCCTGACCTCCAAGTTGGAAGCGAGGAGGCTCACCCCTCCGCAGCAGCCCAGCACACTCCACTAAGCAAGCACTTTCATCCTCCCACCCCTTCCAGGAAGGCTCCGTCCAAGATTCCAGCAAATGCTGCACATTGCGAAGGACAGTTGCTTGCATGCAACAGAGTCCCGTCCAAGTTCAGTCAAGTGGAAGGAGATGAGCTTTCTAAAAACTGCCTTATTGTTTTCCGTTTAAAGCGCACAAGTAAACACCAACAGGTACAAGAACCTGCCTCAAGAAAGCACCGGAAGCAGGACGGAACCAGCAAGGTAGCTGTGCGGAAGACTAACGATTCCCCTGCTCGGACTCTTCCCAGCACACGGCTTTCCACAGACCTGGGGGACGCTGCCTGCTCCCCCCACAGGAGCCCCAGCAGGCTCTGCAGATCTGTCATGCACAGCAACGTGTGCTGTGGGTACCGGAGACGGGAGTCTATGAGCCGCCAACCAGTTGCTCACCCTCAGCTCTGTGCACCCAGAATAGCTGCTCAGAGGAGGAAGAGCAAGGCACAGAAATGGAAGTTTCAAACAAAGCTGTGACCACTGACCACGGGATTCCCAGTACACCTGGATCCTGGAGGTGCTGAGCTCTCCCTACTCAGCCAAGGAGAAGTCCGTTCTCAATCCCACACCAACAACTGGGCAGCCAAGCCCAAGGGCACCAGCACAGGGGGACGTCAGGCAGAACTGCAGGCAGCTGTAGTTGGATAGCATCAGGACACTCCACACGCGCCCAGATGTTCCCCTCGGACGGGCAGAAGCCTGTGCAGGTCTGGGTGCCACAGTCCTGCGACAGGGGCCTCCAGCCCTGCCACAGGTTCCCCGCTGCAGGAGGGGCAGCC